CGCGCAGCACCCGCAGTAAAGCAGCTCTGCAGCCCGCGAGATCCGAGGAGTTGCAACTTACCGAGACGACTGGAGAGCGGGGTGATCGCCCCTGTGTCTCCGTCTCGCCATCCTGAATGAAGGCTTCAAATCGGAGGACCGGGTTCGATAGGCTGCCGGACGGATAATCCCGCAGCGTTTCCGCAAGTTGGTCTAGAATTACGCGGCTAAGATTCTCTCGCAGCGAGTCCATCTGTTGTTCAGGGGATGCCATGATCTGTTGTTTCCCTTGGCGGTAAGGATTGATTTTTTGGTGTTTGCAGGTGTTAAAAAAAATAGCCAGACACTTGACGGGAAAGAGTCTGGTCTGGTCCGATATAGGGTAATAGCAACTAGTCGACAGTCAACGATTTACCGCAGTGTCATGGCAGGTCGACCACGGAAGACGACCCGAGAAAAAGACGGTTGGGGAAAAGGGACAAGAGACTGTGCCCAAGAAGGAACGGATCGAAGCTTGTTCCTTTGGTTGTCAAACAGTTGATTACTGGGTATCATGACTGGACTGCTACGGGCGGGCAGCAGCAGCACCAGGCATCAACTTCCAGTGTCACCGCAAAGTGTGGGAGGAGCCAGCACAGTTTTAATGGCGGAGAAGGAGAACAGAATGCAGTGAGAGATATTCAGGGTCCACTTCTTGTTCGTTCAGGTCACTCTTGGGAGGTGGGGTCGAATGTGCCAAAGCAAGGCAAGCCGAGCCTGTCTTAGTCTCTCTCTGTTCCTCTGGAGCGTGTGTGTGTGTCCCTGTGTGTGGCAGGTAGGTGTGTGTATGTGTGTATTCCACGGCTGAAGCCTGTGTGAGAGGGAGTGCGTGGGTGGTGTGCGTCTCTGGCGGTGCGTGTGGCATCAGTCGAGCGAGCGAAGCAGCCGTCGCCCAGAGTCTAGCCCATCAAACGCCAGCCTAACCTGGTAGAGCAGGGATCGCCGATGGGCAGACAGAACCATTTTGCTGCGTGGGCAGAATTTCCGACGCGGAAGGGGTGGGACTGGGCAGAACGATCTGCCTCGGCATCACGCACCTTGCCGTTGTAGGACTGTTAGCAACGCCATCACCGCCACACTTGCAAACGGCTTGTACGACCACGTCTCTCACGTGTTTTTCAGTACTAAAAAACGTGTCGGCGTCCGCAGATTTCTCGCGGTCCGCTCGACGAGTCTGACTAGTTGCCTATCAACCGCGATGGAGCCCATGTCTGGTCACATATGACTGAAGCTAGGGACCGAGTAACAAACAGGGGCTCAGCGGGCTTAGCCAAGAAGAAACCGAGAACTACAGCCGAAAAAAAAAGGGCGTCATATGAATAGAGTTTCCGTGGCGTCGGCTAGCCGACGTCATCCCCGACCCGGTAAGGTTCCATGGAAACAGCCAGTCTGAGCCACAAATCTCTTGTTAGGGCTGCTCTTTTATCCGCCGTTTCTCTCACTCTCACTCTCTCTCTACTCACCCCTTACCTTGTTGTTTGCGGGCCTTCTCTCTCTCTGTTCCTTCGAAGGATTCGGCCGGCTTCCCGGCCGCCCCCTTGAACTCGACTGGAAACCCGCCCGAAGAAGCCGCTGGTGGGCAGTCTATTGAGGGGCTGCAATTGCCGTCAAACGCCCTCGGGGACGCCTCAAACCTTAATATTACCACTTGAGCCGCTGCCGTTCAGTCCTCCCCGACGTCCTTTCCCTTGTACAACTTCGTTTTTCGTAGGCTGCTATGCCCTGTTCCGGGCAGGCATTGTTTCACGTGTCTCCTTTGGGCATCCACGGGATCAGGCCTCGACCCCGAGCTCAGCCTTGGCACAAGGAGAAGAGCGCGCTCGCGCGCTTCAGTCCTTGAACCTCTGTGAGTAACCGCGGCTGACGAGCAGAGCAAGCGAGCAAGCTCCCCATCAGACATGACCTCGACGTTGCAGGTTCAACCCTCCGAATCCCTTGTCGGACCGCTCCGCGACAAAGAAGGCTTTTTTTAAAGTTCAACTATCGAAAAACGACCTGCTTCTTGCGGAGGCTGCCCCAACTCTAGAAGGAGTTTGTCATGGCATTCCCAAGGGCCTAAATGTTCTCTGACCGTTGCTAGCGTACCTGCATTGCCGGAACCTACCGCCGCTGGGAAGCTTCCAGGGATGTGGGAGGGCAACGGGAGCGTGTGCTGGTGAGATCCGTGAGCCGGGCAGGCAAAGTTGGGCAACCTACTACCTTCGACTACCTCGTTGTCGGGTCCGTTTGACAGCTGCTGCTTGGTCCTTCCTTGATTTGCATAGAGAAACCCCGAGTTTGCTCCTCGCCCTGCTACACATTAAACGGATCAGCTTGCGGTCCCCGTTTCAACATCCAATCCTTTTTGACTTTCTGTCCGCTTCCAAGTTCGTTCCAGGTAAAGCTCAGCTCAACCAGTCTCTTTTCCTTGATTGAAGCTTAGTAAACCCAGCTCTTCCGCGGCGTCATTTGCCGGTTACGTGTGAGAAAGTCAACTTGTCGGCATTTCAGTGATAGGGCTACGGTGTACAACGGACGAATCGCGACAAGGCTACACATTTCCAAGACAATGGTTATGGTGGCAGTTCATGCAGAGACAAACACTCATCAACCCGAGGAGCAGCTTGCGAAATTCAGCCTCGAGCCTCATGCTGCCCTGCTCTCCTCCATCTGGACTATCTTTTTACCAAGTTTAGCTTGGGTCGGCAACACTTGCCCTGCGCAGGGCAAGAAGCACACTGCTGCCGCGCATGACTCTCTCTCAATGAGGACTAACGTGGGCGTTGACGCCGTTGGTCTTCGTGTTGTAGTGCTGCGTAAAGTCATAGCCCAGTGCTTGAGCGCCCTATCCCAAGATCAGTAAGTCGGCGGAAAAATTCAGCAAACCCTAATGCTGGGTGGCCTGTCATCCAAACTCACCTTGGTCATCTCCCTCGCTTTCTCCTGATCTGATTCGGCATCTTTGCACAGCCTTAGGAACTCATCGATCTCAAGTACCTTGTCACCAGGCACTGCGAACATTCGTCGGAAGTTATCGCTGGATACGGGGTCGATTATCTCTCTGTACTTTTGGCGGCGTACGTCGTCGTAGACGTCCAGGATGCTTTCGTCCGCCTTGCCAGTAAGGACTCCAGAGAGGCATTCATAGAGCCCTCCGATATCGACGATGCCGCCGGTAAGGCCGAGGCCCCCACTACCGGACGCCGGTCCGTCAGTATCAATGCGCGATGAAAGGCTTACTTAGATAGGTAAGACGTACAACGGGTTACAAAGATGCGCTGCGTCTGCAGCAAGCAGGAACCGGCCGACACGCATCTTCTCGGCGCAGCGTTGATGGACTTTGTACGGCCCAATGCTGACGAGCTTGTACTGGTTGGGCTCAGGCTGCCCTGGGAGTATCTTCCTGAACCTTTCGGGTTGCCGGGCGATGACTTCCTCCGTCGACAGCCCGGAGACGTCTCCGTATGTCACGCGCCACAAACCGTCTTTGGTGATTTTCGCCGCCATGAACCAGTCCTCTGCATCCAAGATGAAGTTTGAGTCGGTGTATCCGAACCGATCAAAGTCGTAGTATACCTAGTAGATGCGGCGCGGTGGTTAGTCCCGACGATACTTTGAGCCAGCGAAGAATGTGTCACTGGAAACTTACATTTGTCGCCACAATCTGCTCGTCCCATGTTTTGCCTGGAAAATTCGTGTCCCCAAATAAACGCCGCCGGACGATGCTATTAGCTCCGTCGCATCCGACAATGTACTCGGCGAATAGTTCCCGAGTTTCCTCAGTTTTGCAGTTCTCTACATCAACCCAGGCCCTCTTCTCATCCTGGCCAATGCCCGTCACACGATGATCAAAAAGGTAAGTGACTGTTGGCAGATCCTTCGATTCGTCGTATATGAGCTGCGCCAGATCACACAAGGGCAGTGCGAGCAGCCGATCTGGATCGTCCCCGTGGATCTTGTTGCTGAGACTGGCGATTGATGTCCCGTCTGGCTTGCGCCATGCCACCCTATCGGGCAGGAAACCGAGCTCACGCGCGCGATGACCAAGCCCAGCGCGATTCAGAACCTTCATTGCTGGGGGAGCATAGTGCGTGGCCCGAGGCTTGTCGTCAAGCTTTGAGCTCTGTTCGATGATCGTGACAGGAATGCCATCTTTCCCCAACATCAGCCCTAATAGCTGTCCGGCAGGGCCTGCCCCGACGATGATAACCTATACTTTCATGTCAGTCAAAGCTTAGATATTGAAAGCCGATTAGCTTTCTTACATTTTTCGGCCCTACAGACATGACTAAGGTGTCTTTCACGCCCTAAACTAGTGTATTTATCGGCCTGCCGAGATGCAGGATGTAGGTCGATGAGTCGCGGATACGATGTTGTTGTCTTCTTGCTGATGCGGCTACGAGTCTTCGGCATGCCGATTATGTGTTTTTAGACAGAAGACTTGTTACAGATTGTGCTAATGGACGAGGTATTCACTTACTCGTCCAATGTCTCAACCACACTCACATGATCCCCGTCCCCCGCGTCCTCATCGGCTACCACTCTCACCCTCCACATTGGGCAATGGGCGTCGGAGTTAACCTCCACCAACACCCCCCACAAGCAGCGATGTCACCTTCCCGTTCTTTCCCCCACATAGCGCAACGCCTAATTGATTAGATTAGATCTATCGCCACATTCGTCTTGAAGCTCAACTGTTGTTGGTGGTTTGCTTGTAGTGGGGGTGACAGGGTGTCAACTGCGGTGGCAAATTCTTAGAACTCTGGGCCAGTATTCTTTAAGGCTGTCTAGAAAGTAAAGACTGATTCAACGCAGCACACAAAGCTCGTGTGGGGTGACTATGATGCCGGCAAAGGCCACTAGAATGTTCAAAGCTGCAAAGCAGCCGGTGGGAGTGCATCATCAATTGCCAATGAAGGCAATAGGCGTTTGCGCAGTTGAGACAGAAGATCCGAGCGAATTCCAATTCGGGCAATCCTTGATTCCTTGGCGGCTGCCTTGCCTTAATTCAGAAGACTGATTCTTCCTGCAGCTAGAGCCAAAAACACTTTGTCCAGCGCCTGCGATCCAACGCTTTGCAAGTATTTCGCCTGATCTATGCGCCTTCGCGATCTTACTTCGGTGTCATCGAGCTCCTGAAACATGCCAAAGGGCCCAAAGGCAGCGGTTGAGATCGGAGACCAAGGCTCCTGCGAATGGATGAACTGAATCCACGATCTGCGCATCTCTTCGCCAGTCGCCTTGGCGGCTGGAGATATCGACGAGTCGAAACCGCCAAACAGGAGGATCAGATCGATCGCGTGATGCGCTCCATTCGATGGCTGCCAAGGGTTGGCCTCATCAATGAGACTCCGATACACGGGCGTCTCGGCGCGTTTACAAAGCTGAACCATCTCCTGGACAGGGAGCAAGAACTTGTAATCATTGATGAAGTCCAGCGCCCCAAGCTTGCACGAGGACGGCCTATTCGGGTAAATGTTGTACGCTTGCTTGAGCTTGTCGCGATGTTCTCCTGCGGTGTCAAACGCGCTGACAATGTCACTGACCCCCATTGACCAGATGCCATCGCGCCAGAGGACAGACTTATACACAGGTCAGTACTTAATTGGGGGTTTTGTTTCGAGCCCACTGACCTCGTTCTGAACATCACTGATCATCAGTCGGCTTGCCTCGCCTAAGCTCTCCTGCCATCCTTCAAGTGACGATTCCGTCTGAAGGAACCAAGACTGGATCTCGGATCTCTTCAATGCTTCTACAACAACTTCAGCAGGAGCTGTGCGCAAATCCAACTTGCCCAAATCGCGTAAGTGATGCTTGAGATTAGAGCGAAATGCAGCGGCCCTCTCTTGCGGTTGAGGGGGCGAAAGATGCAGAGACCCGGATGCCAGAATGCATTGATTCAACGGCGCCTTGCTCACCATGTGTGCGTGGCAGTAAACTGCTCCTGCACTCTCCCCCGCAAGAGTAACGGCTTTCTGTGCGTAACTTTCAGCGCGGCTCTTAATTGAATCACATTCAACACGGTGGCATCACTTACAGGATCGCCGCCAAAGGCAGCAACATGCCTTTGGGCCCATTGCAACGCCAGCGCTTGGTCCTTCAAAGCAAGGTTTACTGAGCTGTCATCATCTCCGAATGCAAAGATGTTGAGTCTGTACTGGATGGCGACGGCGATGATGGGTAGTCCCATGCGTACAGAGTCTTCAACAATCTTCGTCGTGTCTGTACGCCTCGTGAGTCGAGGTGCATGAGCTAAGACAAAGTAAGCGCTTACCACAAAGACCCGAGGCGGCGCTGCCGAAAGTCACGGCCTGCGAGCCACCTTCACGAAAATACGGTCAGCAAACCTACGATGATGATGCCCTCGTATCGGGTGGTCTACCGTGAATCCAGACTAGCACAGGTAACCTCTCGCCGGCAGTCGTGCCGAGTCGCGCTTTGGGTACCGTGACATCCAAGTTGAGACAACTAAACTCGTCTTCGGCTTCAACGGGAAGCACATGGTGTGGTGGTATGCGTAAGAGATGTCCAACATCGATGGGAACTTGAGGACATCGTGGTCTGATGAGATGTTGGTCAAATTGCGGGTCCCGAGTCAAGAGCCGGTTCGGCGGGAAAGGTGTGCCAACCCGAAATGCGTGCAATCCAGCTCTTGTGGCAGGCTCTCGACGGGCTCGGGGGCCGCGAATCTCGACGGAATACGGCCATATGGTATGCCCCGAAAGTGCGCAACCAACGGGCGTTCGATCCCGACGAGGGTTGCGCCGAGACTAGAGTGATTATGTCGCAGCAGAGTCATGGCCAATTCAGCAATTCAGCAATTCTGCCTTGTGCCTCGGCAGAGAGATGATTTGGTAATTGGGCGGAATATTGTTTTAAGCAACAGACTTTTGTTCGTGTTTGAAAATCCGATGTTCAAAAAAGGGTGTCAACATGGCAAACCGGCATCGAAGAAGAAATCAAGCCGAGCAATCTACCCGGTTTTATGCGTCTGAATTGCCGCTCCCGATCCCGACCCCGCATGCAAAGCCCCCAACTCCGCCTGCTCCGGTCGTCGCCGGCAGGCAATTCTGCCCTACGACGGAGCTTCCCCCACAAATCACACACGGCGACCCACGAGTTCTAGAACATCAAACGAATGAATCATTTGAACACCCTGTGGAAATGCCTATGCAAGATTGTCTTTCAAAGCGATTCAAGTAGATACACTTCTGCCAGTTAAGAGAATAAAAAAAAGTTCGTCCAAGCGCCCAACACGAAATCCAAACCGACGGTTTGGCTCACCTCCATCAGCACTTGATGCTGTTCCGAGATAACTCCAGGGCCTTCTTCGTAAGTTCTAACGCCGTTTCGATATACGCCCAGGCCGCCTCCATCTCGATGCTTCTTCCACGGCGCCTTGCCGTGCGCAAAAGTGATGATGTCTGCAGCAAAAGCTTCTGCAGAGGCTTGCTGCTTCGCGTCCAAATGCTCTCTATAGTTCTGGAACAGGAGTGCAACATCTAGCACATGGGTGGCATAGCCTTTAAAAGTGCCTTCCCAAGGGTTTGCCTCGGCCAGCTCAAAGAGGTATGAGTCGCCAGGAAAGCTGGCAGCCCACGAACGAGCCGGTGCCTGGAAGCCAATGTCTGATGCGAACCTTATGACACCTTTGAAGGCATCTTCATCGTTGGTATCTTCGCTGATTCCGTAGGCTTTCAGCAATCTAGTAGCTTTGTCGGGGTGATCCGAGAAGGATGACTCAATTGACTTCTGGAACGAAGCACCAATACTAGGCTTCCGCTGGAGTAGTCCGGCGAGGCCGAAGATGCTCGCCTGTCCATCGTTGGTTAGATAGCTTTGCACACTTCATGACTTGGTCTACGTACATCATCAGGAAGATAGCCAACAAAGATGGCCTTGCAAGGGGTGTTGTCGGGGATGGACGTTTTGGCTTCTACTGCCTCGAAAGTCGGTACGAAAGGTACCGTATCTGCATCCAGCACGGGCAAGAATTGAAGACTCTTGTCAAGTTTCTCGAGGAGCTCTTCAGGTGAAAGTCTGCTCAGAGCTTCAACTCGCTGGCTCGGAGTAAGGTCTTCGGCGCCGAGGGATTTGAGTGCTCCACGATAAGCTTCCTCGGCGGCTGAGATATCCATAGGAGGGAGTGAAGGGGGTGCACCGCTTAGCACAGCCAACTGAGATGGCGCATCATCATTCGAGTAAAGCAAACGACTAGTTGAAACTAGTAAAAGACACGTTAGATGCTTGGCTCTTCGCTGCAGCCTGTCTGCTTCAAGAAGGCGATGCCATTGGGGGTAAACTCACTTCCGCCGGCGCTCTCACCAATCACTGTAATCTTGTGAGGATCACCGCCAAAACCGGAGATGTACCTCTTGACGTATTGGAGAGCAGCTCTTTGGTCATGATGACCTTGATTGCTCTTAAAACCCTCCTTTCGAAGTTCGTCTGAAGTCAAGAATCCCGGAGCTCCCAGACGGTAGCTATGATGATGAACCGTCAATGCTGCGTCAGAAGACAGTGATGAGATCATACGTACTTGATACTGACTGCGATCAGAGGTTGGCCTTGCTTGATGGAAAGCTGAACGATCCGCTTCAAGTCGTACTGGGGCCACCAGTTTGACCCTGTGATGAAAGCACCGCCGTGGATGAAAACGATCACCGGAAGCGACTGGCCCTTGAAAGAATTTATGGGTGCAGCAATGTTCAAGTTGAGACATTCTGTCCCAGAGATACCTGGATGGTCACTGACTGGTAGGGTATTCTGAATGATGAAGTGTTCTTTATGAACGCCTTCGGGATCAGATATCACTTGCGGCCTGGTGTTCTCAGTTAGCTCCGGTGGCCTCATCCCATCAGGCTGCTGGCTCACCCACCCATGACGAATTGCACTAAGGCGTTTTCCGTCGTACTCCACAAGCTTTGCGTTGTCAAACCAGTGATTGAGGCTCGCATACTTGATACCTAAGAATTGGATCACATCTTCCGTGGAGCTTGCCTTGATATCTCCGATGAGAGGATGCTGGAAGATTGTAGTAGAAGCCATCTGATCTTCGAAGTGTGCGGTCGGATTAAGGATAAAGTCAGACTGCAAAGTTGGTTGCGGCTTAAACGATTCAGACACAAGAGTCACCCAAGTTGACGAAAGGGCTTGAGGTTCTATCCGAATTGGTGCTGTTCAGACCTTTGCATAGGTCCCTCAAACACTTTGTTTCAGCAGCAAGCACAATGTTGAAAGCGCTTGGAACTCACTCCTAGATAGCACCTGTAAAGACCGTAGCCAGGAGCTTCAGCGGGTGTTCCGGAACCTCTGGCAGCCTTCCGACCCCGCATGTTGAATTGCCGAAGAAATTCCCGGAGAAGCAACCGGACGTTACCCCACATTACCCCACATCGGAAACCCGGGCGTGCAGCTTCGCTTTACCCCCACTTCCAATCTCGGGAGCCGCCCCGGGCCGTGGTGTTCCTGCGGCCTGATCCGGTTCCCGCTATGTACCCCACATTGCCCAAATTACTTAGGCAAGTCGAACCGCAGTTACCAGTAGCGGATTGCTCTCCTTTCATCATCAAAAACTCATAATATACGCAGGATCATTTCGATCAAAGCCTCAGAAAACGAGCTGGGTTGATTTTAAGAGGGGAGTTTAGCTATTAATAGGAGCTAGGCTGCAGATTAGTATTCCCAACTGGGGTTTCAAGGTCTTCTAAGAGCACAAGATTTTGCCACTGGTTAGTGAACAGGGGAATACAACTGAAGAGCGAAGACTTGGTTCTAAGACCAAGGAATCGAGCCTTTGAGTAAGATGAAACATTTGAGCATGGTCATCAGTCTACGTCGCCAATTGCAACCAAATTAGTCGCTGAAAAGAGTCTCCAACGCTGCATCTTGTGAAAACTTGTCGACTAAGGATCAAGATTCTGTCATTTCTGCCTTTGTGCTTCATTATGGTTTTCATATGCAGTTGCCAGGTGTTCCAAAACCTTTCCCATGCGCACAGTGATGCCCCAAACCCATACCTATCCCGAGACTTGTTAGCCATGGTTCTTTTATTCAAGGAGAAATTCCACAGCTCGCGAGACTTACATCTTGCAAGAAAAGACTCCAGGTCCGAGCAAGCCCCGCCGCAAACGATCTGTTCTCCTCTGGATCATAGTCCGCCTCTTCGAGAACTTCCTTCATTGCCGTCAGCAGCTCAGTCTCCGCCCTGGTTGGTTCGATGCCATTTATAGCATCAATCTCCACCGAGTGCACCCATTTGGTGACGAACAGTCCTGTTCATAAAGCTTAGCCCAAAGCCTAAGGAAGGATCTCATCTGTATTACCGGCATCCCAAGCTGCGACTGCGTGTTCAATACTCCATCGGAACGCCGCAGTCTTGCGCATCAGCATGTGTCCCATTCTGAACGGAATCTGGAACCCCTCCAGCGTCTTCTCTACTGCGTCTAGAAGAAAACGGTCTCTTTCGAGTGGCGCTTCTGCCAAAATGGCAACCGATGTTTCAATAACTTTGGGATCCTCGGCCATCAAAGTGAGCCGGTCGAACCCTGTAGTGATGTCAAACAGTCGGATGTACGCAGCTCTGAGGATGCCATAAGATGAAAAACGTAGGGAGACAATCTCCTTGTCATCCAGGTCTTCGAGTCGGTCTTGTTGAGGCATTTGAAGTAAGTTGTAACACCTCGAAAGAGATTCTAAGCCCGTCTTCAGTAGAGATTGACCTAGAAATGACTGACTTGAGAACGCGCAGAGAGCGGATGTCTGTGAGATCTGGTAGAGCTGACGCATATGTACCATGACGGCGTGTGTGAGTATCAGCAATGAGAAATGAGAGACTCGAGTGATGTCAAGTCTGCTGCGTTTCTGGTCGTCTGATAGAACGCCTTCCACCAGGTCCCTCATGGTGCCGACCTTCTGGTGTTCATGCTTCGGCCGTAGACTTAGCCACTCGCTAGATGATTGTGCGTTCCATAGGGTTTCCTCATGGAAGCATTCAACTTCCAAATCGTTAGATGCGTTGAAGATGGGGTTGATGCCGTAGATAACCATTCTCAAAGTGCCTGCAACGTATATGCCTCCAAGCACTCGTTTCCATGATTCACGTTCAATCCAGCGTGACCACTCCATCGTGAAGAGTTTGGCTTTCTCGCTGTTGAGCTTATTGCGTGCCTGATTGTATATCTAGATGGAAAGTCAGCCTGTCACCAGGTTTCATAAAAAAAACTTGAAAATCTAACCAGGTTGTAAAATCCACTTTCATCCGTGGAAGTTGAAACCAAGTCCTGGTCACCGCTGAAGGTAGCATAAAAGGTCAAGAGAAATCTAGTTTGCGTGAACCACAGCGGGAAGTCCTTTATGACGACCTGCTGTAGATTAGTAAGTCTGCGTTGTTTCAACTCAGTCTGGAAAGAGACTTTTACCGGTTCGACCAGTATTCTAGCCAAGTCGTATAGACGACGTGCTCGACGCCGATCCAGTCGATACAGCGCGCCAATGCTGCACATGGCTAGGATCAAAGCGCTGGGAACCTTCCCAAGAGCAAGACTTTGCAAATGAAGAATGGGCAAATGGCAGTGAAAGCTTCCCATATAGCTTGCGAGAAAGTTTTGACATGTTTTGAGAGTTGGCAAGTCTTTCAACGCTCGACCCTTTGCCGCTTGGCTTGACAGCTCGTCACAGATGGAAGCATAGACATCCTTATCTATCAAAGCCGATGATGCCCTTTTGCCATATGGTAAACAACATGAAGTTTGCTGCCCCATTGTTGTACTCACTTGCTCGGGCTCGGCCATGGAGAGATCGGAGTCGCATGCTGTTGAGTTTGGAGACACTTCGTTCGCCGCCGTTCTTGTAGCAGTATCGAGGCAGTTGTTCAGGTGCACGTCATACACAGAATTGGGATCGTCTGGCAGACCAAATGCGAGCCAGCTTGGAGAGTTCAGAAACCCCAAATCTTGGGAGAAATCAAGGGTCCCATCCGGTAGAGGTAGTACTGAAGGCGGGATCGGACAAGGGAACGATGCGTCGAGGAACGATGCAGCGATGTCTTCGGTCGCGAAGCCCATAGAATCCAACGGTATTGGATCTGTTTGTTGTTCGGTACGAGACTCTGACAGAGTTGGTACTCCATGGGGTACCAGCTCGTTCTCTTCAGCCAGGTCTAGCCCAACCGTTGCGATAGTTTCGGTGTCAGTTGCGACAGTAATACTCCCGGCATCCCTTGTTGTTGGAATTGGACTCTTCTTGCGGCGCTTCTCTGGGGAAAATAGACTTTGTCTTCTTGGAGAACGGTTTTGAGAATGTAGAGGGTGTTCGTCTTCCGGCTCGCTCGATGTATCTTCCGACTGAGACTCTTCCCCCAATTGACCTCCGACTGTGATGGCGGCGGCATCTGCATGAAGTGTCCGTTCATGCCTTGTGACTAGGTCTCTGAAGAATATTGTTAGTCAAACGACACCATTGGGTAGCACCTGAGATGAGCGTACTTCCGGGCATAGCACTTATGGCAATACTGGCACGAGTAAGGCTTTTCGTTCGTGTGACTACGTTCGTGCCGGATGCAATGCTCGCTGCGCTTGAAAACCTTCGGACAGTAAGCGCATCTATGCTGTCTACTTTCACGTTGCGAGCGCTTGACCCCGGCGCTGGCATCCGGGGGCGTCGCAGGCGGGCCGGTTTCCGCGTTGGGGTTGGGTGACAGGGGTATTGCGGAAGACATCAGGATTCTGAACTTTCGCGCGGTGTCTGCAAATGTCTTCGACAAAGACGTAGGCTTACAGGCTATCGCGAAAGTGAAATGAATGAGTTGATAAGGAAACGGTAAACAGGCCAGTTTGACCCACGAGAAAGATCGGGACAACGCATCTCGCTGCGATCGCCACTCCGCCAAGACGGACGCGGGGATAGCTCGCGGGCCGCGCTACTACTGCCGGTGATCAATAATATCTTATTAACAGTGCCAGTAATGGACACTGCGGGGAAATCTGTGGAGCAGATCTCCGCCACCAGATGCGTAGCACACTCGGCATTGCAAATGCTCGTATCTAATTGGGTTTTAATTGGTCGATGTATCCATCTGATCCATGGAAGCCTGCGGCGCTTGACGATGCAGTTGCTGGGACGAAACGCTGCCACTGACTCGAAGAGATGGACGGTTGGAGGCTCAGTTTCCGTCCTACTCCGTCCCACAACGTCATCCAACAACCATGCCATCCGTATTCACCTTCACGTTTCCCAAGTAAAATCCTTCTTTTTGCGCCTGAGCCCACTCGGCTTTCAAGACTTCTGCCCGTCGCGTGTTCCGCGGGACGAACCGAGCCTTGAACGGTTTGGGCAGAGTATTGACCCCCGGCTCGTATGCATCATCTGAGAGATCTACGGGGATTTGGTTGCCACTTGGATCTAGTGCCGGCTCGATCTTGAAAGCCCAGAGGATCTTGGCAAGGGTGACAAAGAGACTATTTTCTGCCAGATGCATCCCGGGGCAAATGCGCCGGCCACCGCCGAAGTCGAAATGGTCGCGGCCTTTGGCGTCTCCTTGGGCGGCGTAGAAGCCTGCTTTCTCTGGATAAGATAAGTATCGCGACGGATCAAAGGCTTCTGGGTTGTCCCATTTATCTGAACTGTAATGGAGGACATATTGTGGAATAGCGACCACAGTATTCTTGGGGATGAAATAGTCTTTGTAGAAAATGTCCGCGGTCGTGTAATGGGGACTTCCAATGTTCGTGACAGGCCGGATGCGAAGGATTTCCTTGCCCATGGCTCGGATGTATGGCAGATCAGCCTCATCTGAGAAAGTGGGAGATCGATCGTCTCCAACAACTTTCGTGAGCTCAGCGTTTGCTGTGTCCTGGACGCCTGGATGGGCTGACAAATATAAAATTGCACTGTTGAGTGCAGATGAAGTGGTTTCTGAGCCTGCTTCGATCATTGCTAGAGGGTAATGAAAAGGTTAGCCACGCGAATCGGCCTCTTGTTCTTGATGCGGATGCGGAAGTCGTTACTTACATCCTGCCACGAAGCCAGCCTGAACATCGCTGATTCCAAGCTTCTCAAAATCTGTCTCTATGAAGTGCTTCACGAAACACTCGGGAGCTTTCTTCTGATTTACAGCAGATTTCAACTCATCCCAGTAGCGCATCCACGTCTTTTTCTGCCGGTTGTATGCCGCAATAGCGCTCGGCCTCCACCATTGTAGGCAGGATGGAATCTGGGCGAGTGGTGGGAATAAGTCGGCTACGAACCCACCGGGCTCTGCTGCCTCAGAGAAGTCTTTCAGGAGTTGGTATATCTCTCGCATATCGTCGCAATCCTGGTCATCAGTCAGTGGATATTCGGAGATTCTAATGAAGCGACTTGTCTAACCCATGCTGGAACTCGTCGACCGTATGTACTTGTCAACACGACAGAAGTCGTGTATCTACGAACATGCAAGTAAAAGCTTTCTTGATCACCGTTGCCGGTTGCAAGGTCGAAAAGCAACTGCTTCGCCTCAAAATCTTGCGACGGTTTGTAAGTATCCGATGCTTTCGGTGTCAGCAGCTTGTGAACAATGGTTCTCAGCTGCCTCCACTTTGTGCCATATGTTAGGAGAAGCAGTCGGTTTTCCCCAGAAAGGAGGTCGGATACAACCGGCATCGGCATCCTGCCTGATGTTTTCGCAGATTGCTTGTCGAATATTTCTCGAACCGCTTCAGGGCTATTGACGAAGACCCAGTTCTCCCAACCGAGCCTGATCTTGAAAAGCTCGCCATTTTCGCTGGCCCATCTCTGGAGTTGACGTTGTGGCGCCTTCCCTAGTTGATGAGTGTTACCGATTAGAGGCAATCCCCTTGGTCCGGGAACTAATTTGTAGTTTTTTGGAGGGCGAGAGTTTCGGCAGGAGATCATGCTGAATGATAAACATGCGATCAAGGGCAAGAAAACAAATAGAATAAATGCCATGGCGACAGAGTTTGGCTTTCCTGCAGCAAGGAATGTTGATGAAACTCAATCTTTTGGATGCAAAGCACCATGGCCAGTAACATTTCGGGCTTGTGCGTTTGATAAATCCAGCCTCAGTCTCATTCCAGAATACGGTCGCCCACTGCGCCTCATTCGTTACACTTCGCTCCGTCAGAACCCCCACGCAAGTAGGACGGAGTTCCGCGGCGTTTGTTCGTGTCAGAGTCCACCAGGCTTGGAGCTGTCACGATGGACGGACCCCACACCAATTGCAGAGCTCAATTGCCGGGCTGTCAGTGTGCATGTGGAGTAAGTGCCGTAACACTCCACGTGGGGTGAACTTTTCCGTCCACAGGCATTGAAACGGTTACCAATAAATTTGAAAGCACACTAAGAATTGCGCTATTTAGCTGGAAGGGAACACACGGTCTGAGCATTTGATCGTCAACTTCACTCATCACGGAACATTATGGCAGCCCAAGCTCTCGCCCCGAAGGACTTTCAAAACGCCTTTCACTGGGCAGCGAGCCAGAAGGACGGCACCATCCCGTCTTTTGCGACTCGTCCCAATGACCCTTACAAGTACCAGCCTGGTCTCGGAAACAGCTTTGAATCTGAGGCTATTCCCGGCACCATCCCACAGGGGCAGAACAGCCCCCGAAGCATCCGATATGGTCTCTACGCCGAGCAGATCACCGCATCTGCGTTTGTCGCGCCCCGACATGCAAACAAGAAGGCATGGCTTTACCGATCCAGACCTGCTGTAGCTCACCAGGGTTTCGTAAGTGCAATCTCTGCATCAATATTGGAGTTCTCTGAGTACAAGACTAACAAATTTCAGACTTCCCTGCCTGACAACAAAGACACAGAATCAACTTTCATCCCTATTAACCCACGTGTCCATATCTCACCGACCCAGTTGGCATGGAAGCCATACCCCATTCCTGAGGGTGAGGAAGTCGACTTTGTTGACGGACTCAAGACTGTTGCTGGTTCCGGTGACCCCACGCTGAGAGAAGGTCTCGCAACTCATGTTTTCCTTTGCAATAAGAGCATGTCAAAGAAGGCGTTCGTAAACTCCGACGGCGACTGGCTCATTGTGCCTCAACAGGGCGCGCTTGACATTCAGACTGAGTTCGGTCATTTGTATGTGCAGCCGGGAGAAATCTGCGTCATCCAACGTGGCCTCCGCTTCAAGGTCAAGGTCGAAGGACCCACCCGTGGATACATCCTCGAGATCTGGGGTTCCAACTGGGAACTCCCCGAGTTGGGTCCCCTCGGCGCAAACGGTCTGGCCAACGCCCGTGACTTTCTGCACCCCATCGCCGCATATGAGGTCACCAAGGACGACCCGTGGGAGACCGTCTACAAGCTGGGAGGCAAGTTCTTCAAGAGCACCCAGCGTCACTGCCCATTCGATGTTATCGCCTGGCACGGCAACTACGTTCCTTATAAGTACGACTTGACCAAGTTCGTCAACGTCGGATCTATCTCCGTCGACCACATCGACCCGTCTATCTTCTGTGTTCTTACAGCAAAGTCTCGCGACCCAACCGCGCCATTGGCGGATTTCCTCATCTTTTCCCCTCGTTGGGACGTGGCTTCCCACACTTACCGCCCCCCTTACTACCACCGAAACTGCGCTTCCGAGCTCATGGGCCTCATCTACGGAGAGTATGGTGGACGTTCCGATGAGTTCCAGCCTGGTAGCATCTCTTTTGAGTGCGGCTTCGTCCCCCACGGAGTTGCCTACGAGCAATTTGCTGCTGCGTCAAAGGAGGACCCTCCCGTCATGCAAATCTCTCATGGCTCTATTGCTTTCATGTTCGAGACCAGCAGAGCTCTCACTATTACTGACTGGGCATGGAACAGCAAAGAAAAGCATGAGCATGATCCTAAGATGTGGGATGACCTGGTGGACAACTTCTCAAACCATCACATCGAGATTCCCCAACAAAGCAACGGCCACAAGAACTGAGGTTCATGGTAATTTAAAGACATGTGTTGTAGAAACCTCCTGTATCAATCCAATTTGAAAACAGAGATACGCCGGCAGTGATATGTGCGAAATAACAATTCGATAACTTCCACAACACACAGCAAGCGATTTTCTGAGTCTACTTATGAATGCATTAGCGCAGCTTGTGATGCACCCGCTGACCGCAGAGCTTACAACACTACTTCCCGAGTATTTGGTACTGTTATGATTGGGCATTGTTTGATAATAGCTGCATGACAGGGGATTGGCCTGGCGCTGTGTCCCAGTCGACTCCGCACATTAATCATTGAAACAAGATCTGGACCTTTGGACTATAAGATTTAGACAACACTTCCAGGCTGGAAGTGAATCTGAAACAGATAAAGATCTTTCCTAAGTCGGGTCTGCAAACAACAAATAGGTGGCCACACAACATTGTCACTTTGGCGATGACAAAAAGACAAGTCATTGAGCCCCTGAAGGGATTGCATAGATTGTCTATCTCTAGGATATAAATCTACGATGAACCCAAACACACCCTGGGCTAAACAAATCAAAACGCTAATTCCGCAACATCGATAAGAGTATGCCTCCCCCACTAGCCAGTGCAGCACTGGTGGTCGCAGCGCTCCGCCTAAACCAGAATGTTAGTGATTTATGTGTGTGAAGGTTCCGCGGGGAAGCTTACGTTGCCGACAGTGGTCTTGGAGGGACCAAGAGAACGCTCGAAGCCCTTGGCTTTGCAGATCTTGTTGAGCTCTTCAGCAACACCATCGGCGAAGCAGAGGCAGGCGGAGCCGGTGCAGTATGTTAGAGTCTCAGAGCATCTTTGACCCATGACGCCAGCTGCAAGCAGCGTGAAAAGAAATTTAGTAAGCTGCATGTTGCAGAATCTGTGAAAGTATTGATGTGTGAATAAGGAGTTGCTGATGGGATGAAGAGACAGCAGGTGAAATGAGTGGAAATGTTGGGTCATTTATAAGTACGAAGCCATGAACTCATTTTACCCATTCTAGAAGCCTTCGAACAAAGAGTCCATGATAGTACGGTTGTGGATGATGCTTAATTGACGGGGCCTGGGAGTCTGGTCCCGGCGGCCGTACCGGGGAAGGATGACCCCAGAGTCCTGACTCGCAAACGATCTGAAGCAACTGCGGCAGGACTCCGTGGGGTTCCGAGACTCGTCCCAAGAGACGATCTGAGACACAAGACATCTCTTGCAGCACGCAGATCATGTTCGTCTGACCAGGTGAATATTCTGCCAAGTGCCAACCCGCGCGCATTTTCGGCCAAACTCTCTGCTTGCAGTTCACTCGACGGTTCACTCGTGAGAAAGGACGATGTCAACCCTCAAGTTCAAGCTCGGTGATTGTGCATGCGATTGAGCACAGCGCAGCAATACAGTTTCCACAGTTTTTAATGAGTGTAGTAACAATTGCAACACCGCCTGTTCGCGTCTACCTTCCCAGTTGCGCCTTTACCCCATTGCAGTTTCATATACATGGCGGTCAAGTGGTACTAAGCGAACATTTCGGTACGCCGAAATGTCCGACCACACTTGGTTCTGAATCGATATGATCTGAACCACCAGAAATAGAGTTTGCCAAGATTGCGATCTTCAGACAAGTTCAGTACTCGACACAGCTGTCGTCTATTTCATCGCCTTTCCCTAGATGCCAAGGTATTTGACTCCGCCAGTCGTCCCAGGCGCGCGGAGCTATCCGTGTGGGATGTGGGCAGCCATCAACTTGGCAATGACTCAAGACACGTGCAACACGCGCATAAGTCAGGGGGTTCAGACTCCATCAAAACTCGTAACTTGACCGCCTTATCATTACGGAACCGATGGGTTTGGAAGTCCGAAACTAGCCATCGGTCGCGTTGATACGCTTCGTGAGTGGATCGCGCGAACCTCAGCCCCAAACTTTGTTCTAAATTGATGACAACGTTGATTGTAAGTTGACCAGATCTCAAGAAAATGAACATAGTTACCCATCATAACTTGCATCCGATACCAGAGTGGTATTCGAGCCACTCTTTGAGCCACCTTTTACGGGCGTCAACGTTCTGTCTATTTGAGATCCATGTCGAAAACATAAAATATGGCAAGCGATGGTCGCGGCACCTTGGACCCCCAACTCCATTACTCTAATTGACCATCCTGGCCCTCGAATATTTCCCCGCGAGAGTCATACGGCAGTCAACAAGGTGCGCCTCCAGGCGGCAAACTGCGAAGAAAAAAAGTTAAAAGGAGGAAAGACTCCATAACTCTAATCAATCTCCTCCGTGAACTAGCACGCTGCGGTTCTTGTCCTGCGTCGAGATGGGGACATCAAGTGCAGGGTTACCCTGGAAGAAGTTGACCGGCTTCAGTCCCACCATCATCTTCTCACACGGCATGACTGGCCAATCCTCGATGCGCGGGTTATGCGTTGAGCCAAACGTATGCCAGACGACAATGTCCTCGTTGCGGACTGAAGACAGGCTTTTTTCCTTCCGCTGATTGATCCAAGACGCGATGCCCTCTCCGCCGGAGGATTGCATCGTGAACCTGCCGGCGGGAAAGAGCTCTTCATCCTGGTGACGCGTCACCCAGACGGCGTGGGAAGTATACTCGGAGCGCTTGCCGTGCCATGATTTCGGATGAGCCAGAAGCAGCTGGCTGTAGTGCGGCAGCAACTTGAAGCCGACTGGGGTGCCCGTGGTTGGGTTGGTGATTCCCTCGTTGACAATTTTGAACGTTCGGTTCGTGTTGAAATCCAGGTCGAGGCCAGTCTCTTCTTTGACGTACTCCGACTTGGTGTTGTATCCGACACCGAAGAGATTATACTCATCGGACTCTCCGGTGAATGGAATGGGCTGAGATTCTTCGACGATGAGCGAATTCTGATGACCGTCGATCGCCGGGTCGATTCGCAGACAGAAGATGTGCTGGTGGTAAGGGGCCAGAACACCAGGCGCCACAACC